TGCTTCAAAGGGAAGAATGGAGGAAAGGGGAGCAAGAGCAACTCGGGACAAGAGGAAAATGAAAATGAAAGGAGAAAGACCAAAATGAAAGCAGAAGGGAAGGGGTCGGCAGGGCATAGGGAAGTTTACCGACGAAACCCACATTGCTACAGTGTAAAGCTGCTCATCTCTACGTTGTATCAGGATTCCCGTTGACAAGCCCATCACCGACGAGTACCAAGTTGGAGATGGAACTATTACCGACCTATATCTGATCGGCAAACAAAGTAAAAGCTACACCGCCAGTGGCCACCAGCCGGATTCGCGGGGAGTTGCTGACTAAGGGCAAGTTACCGACAAGCATTATGTCGGAAATGTCATCAAAAAGCTGCACCCCTGACGCAGGCAGCCAGCTAGTTGACGGGGGCGGTGCATTGGGACTGGAAATTACCGAGGAGATGGACGTTGGAAATTGTTCCTCATTTACCGACGAGACTATCGTTCCAAATTAAATTCACAGGCGTACTTCTTGTCGGTGATATGCCTTCTCTCCTTTCCTCAGGCCGCCAGAGTTACAATTACCGACAAGAAACACGTGTTTATGTTGTTAAATTACCGACGAGTCTTACGTCTGTACAATAAATAATATATCTTACTACCATTTCTACTATTTCTCAACTTGCAGACTTACATTTTGTCGGTAAATAGATGCTTCACCGAGAAACCTTCTTACCTTGGTGATAGCTGGTCGGTGAAACTAGGTTTTCTTGTAATAAGTTGATTAAGAAAAATGGCATAAAAGAGATGAGTTACCAGTGACTGGTTGAGAGATTGGAGAAGAGCTATCGAGTCGAGTGTGAGTGAGAGATGGGAGAAGATCAGTGTTGCAGTGGTTGCACAATGGGTAGTGACGGTGAAAGCTTGAAGAGAATCACATATGAGGATTGAGGAGCAGAAATAAAGTTATAACGTAGAGCCACAGAAGAGACCGAAGAAGAGGAATCACAAATTTGAAATTGAAATCTTTGGATA